TTTAGAAACAAATAATGAGAAGTTTTGTTAATTCATCGCTACAATACAGAGACATTATCATATATGCGAAATGAATTTTAATGTAAAACTTTCATAACACTTTAAAGCCAGATTTAACATATTCGTGTGTAAGATTTTGAAAATCTTATTGATATACACTGAATAGGTTGATTGATTGGTGGTTACTTAACGTCCAGTAGCAAATATTTCATGCATGTTCAGGACGATACACACTGAATAGGAAATCCTACTGTGACCTGCATGTATTGATATTCGTTTTCGTGTAACATGTACATGTATCACGATTTCGATTTCGTGCCCCCTTCGTGTCAGTTCTTAACTTTTTTACATTTATGTATACCTTTTACTCTATCAAATGATTAACTAATAAAATATTCTTATATTCTATTGAAAAACATTCACGTACCTTACAATGAGGTCGGGTGGGGGGAGGGTATATAATTATAACCTGATTATCTGTTAAAAAATGTATTGCTATTCAAAAGAAAATCATTCTGAATATTTCATTCGATACAATTAAAATTATAAAAAAAATAATCTCTTTTCCGCGATAAAATTTCATTACAAATAGACAAAAAAAAAAAACATAGCACCCCACCCCCCCCCTCTCCCCCCCCCCCTTTCCATTAACTAAGTTGGTACAATAAATTACTTTCAAAGTGTCTTGTATTTTTCATACACCGAAATCAGAAGGTAATAATTCATTTGTGTCTTACTTCATGCAGTTACAGTAATATTTTTATTGTGTATGGATGATAATTTCCAAGTATTATATCTAGATTAATTAGTGAGTTTTATTTCACATTCTAAATGAGCCGTAGGGCGTATTAAAACCTGAACGCATTAGAAAGGAATATCTCACTTCAGTGTGGTCGGTAAAATAGGATGCTAAATTTTGCAAATCTTTATAAAAAACAATATTTTTTTGACGGTATATAAGTCAGATAATGCATATTTTATAAATTGTGAAATGCAGACGTCAAAGAAAGCAAGAAGGAGAGCATCGCCAACCAAAATATGTTGGTACATGTATTTTGAAAAGAGAGGCGAAAGAAACGGACATTTTAACTCATGAGTCGATGAGTCGAAACAGTACACAAATCACCACATAGAAAACTGAGCTACACGAACCCCACCAAAAATGGGATGATCTCATGTGCTCAGAAAGGGTAAGCAGATTTAAGTTGCAATTTTCCCCTATTACGTAAACACACATATATCTACAATGGACACCAAGGACTGTTATTATTGCACGAGCAGATTTATCTAGATGAAGTCACTTTGGGTAGATTATGTCAGCATGTTTACTGATCTCTTGATCGTCAGCAGAAAATATTACATTGAGTATCTAGTACTGTTGTTTAGAATTTTATATTTTCATTTGACTCAAATTTACGAAAGAAGACCCATAACGGGTACAAGAACGATTGATAATCACAGCAGAGGATTTTTGAATCCTATGGAATTCTGATAACTTTGTGATTTACATTCTTCAGCAAGAAATCAAAAGAAAATATCAAAGGCTATTGACATGACATTGATAGTATATATGGCTTAGTGGAGGTGATCTCTTAAATATACTCTGTACATCAACTTCGAGATGTGCTTTCCTCGTCATCATAAACATGATAAACAATTGTACTGTCTGCAGTTTCCAGGAAAATATCTTGTTTAACAGAATGGTTCAAGCACAAGATATCATTATGACAATAAAAGCAATGAAACATCGCATACCTAGGTTTCCTTATTTGTGACTTCTCAACGGCACTTTAACCAAATAAACTATTAACTCAGCGATATGTCTCGCCTATTTTTGATGCAAATGTTAAACTAAAATAGCAATACTTTAACATGTACGTTTTGCAAATATTCAAAGTCAATGAACCATGACTGTAGGTAAAGGGTTAAACAATCTCCAAGGACATCAGATGTGCCAATGCTAATACAAATGCACAACAAATACCATTGTCTTTTCATAAGTAGTTCCCTAAAAAAAAACTTAACACAAAGATTAACTATGTAAAAGTTTCAAAGTCAATGAACCATAATGAAAGGTTGCATGGGTAATATAATCTCTATGGAAATGAAACTTGCACATGCCAATACATTTGCATACTAAATATCAATGACTTGACATTAATGGTTCATCTTAAACTGACATAATCACAAACTAAAACATGCAAACTAAGCAAAAGTTTCATAGTCAAGAAACTATGAATGAGGAGGGCATAGTCAAATAATCTCCATGGTAATGAGATGTGCCAATCCTAATACATATGCATAACAAATATCATTGACCTATCACTAGTGGTTCACCATAAACTAGACCTAATCACAAACTAATACATTGTTGACGACGCTTCCGCAGCCGACACCGGAAACAGCATACCTATGTCTTGCCTTTTGACTCCGTCAAGGCGAGACAAAAATGTTTTCCTCATATTTCATTTAGAGTCTGTCATTTGCGCTTGTATTCCGTATGCATTTGTATAAAAATCAAAATGCTTATACAAGTTTACAATTTTAATCAATATTTTATTAACAACTAATACATGCAACCTTTTGTACAAATATATAAACATCAACATGATTATAATTAAAAAAACATTCTTTTACTATAAAATGAACTAGAGGCTCTCAGGAGCCGGTGTCGCTCACCTTGGTCTATGTGCATATTAAACATAGGACACACACTATAGACAAGAATGGAATTCATGACAACATTCTGTTTTTGGTGATGATGACTTGTTTGTAAATCTTACTTAACTGAACATTCTTGCTATTTACAATTATCTCTTTCTATAAGTAGTTTCAGAGGAAAAGATTTTTGTAATAATTTAAAATAAATCATGAAAAATTGACTTTAAAGGGCAATTACTTTTTAATGGGTCAATTGACGATTTCGGTCATGATGACTTATTTGTAGATCTTACTTTGCTTAACAATTTTGCTATTTACAGTTTATCGATACCTATTATAATATTCAAGATAAGAACCAAAAACTTAAAAAATTCTTTAAAATTACCAATTCATTGGCAGCAACCCAACAATGAAAATTGTAAGCCGGATAGATCTCTATCCAAAAAAGATTTTTACCCTCGTCAGATTTGATCTAAATGCTTTACTTTCAGAGATTTAAGCCAAAACACTGCATTTTACCCTTATGCTATATTTTTAGCCATGGTGGCCATCTAGGTTTATGGCCAGGGTCATCGGATACTTTTTCAAAACTAGATACCCTAAGGATGATTTAGGCCAAGTTTGGTTTATTTGGACAAGTAGTTTCAGAGGAGAAGTTTTTTGTAAAGATTAAGAAAATGTATGAAAAATTGTGAATTTTTTTTCATTTAAGAGCAATTACTCTATGAGGTCAATTGTCAATTTTGGTCATGTTGACTTATTTGTAGATCTTACTTTGCTTAACACTTTTGCTGTTTACAGTTTATCTATATCTATTATATTATTCAAGGTAATAACCAAAACTTTTAAAATTTCCTTAAAATTACCAATTGTTGGGCAGCATTGTTGTCTGATACGTCTGAACATTTCAGGCCAGATAGATCTTGACCTGTTAAACATTTTTACCAATGGTCAGATTTGTTCTAAATGCTTTAGTTTCAAAGATATAAGCCATAAACTGCATTTTACCCCCATTTTCTATTTGTAGACATGGCGGCCATATTGGTTGATGAGAGGGGTCATCGGCTTCATTTTTAAACTAGATACCCTAAGAATGATTGAGTTCAGTTTTTTTTGGCCCAGTAGTTTCACAGAAGATTTTTGTAAAAGTTAACGGACGACGACGACCACGATGGACGCTAAGTGATGAGAAAAGCTCACTTGGCCCTTTGGGCCAGGTGAGCTAAAAAGTCAATCAGAGTTATGAGAGAAGATTATAGTTTTATAAGATACACAAAAAAGTGCCCCAGTAATTGAACTTTAGGTCTATTGACAAAATATTCTGATTTTTACATGGACAAATTGTAGTATTTGGTCCAAAATTGATTGATTGATTGATTGGTGTTTGATGTCACTTTCAACACTATTGTGCTATTTTGTAGTGGTCAGTTTTTATTGTTGAAGAAAGCAATAGTGGACGGGGAACACCATAGACCTTTGGTAGGAAAAGTAACAATCCTTGCCATTTAAGATTAGAGTTAAGTGCAACTGCTACGTTCGGGATTCGAACCATTAACCTCAGAGTTGACAAGCTAGGGATCCAGCAGTTCGACTACTTAGACCACTAAGCCACCAAGGCTCCTTTTAAAAATTTATTGGACATGTATGTTAGGCAGGTAGTATTTAATAAAAGTATGCATTTTTTGGAAATTTAAAAAAAAAATGCATTTACAATATAAGTGAAAAATTCACGTACGATTTTAAAGTAATACTGTACACATTATTTACATGATTAACAAATTCACAGGATTTTTTCACTAAATCCTTAGATATTAAAAAAAAAAAGTCACAAGTTAAAATATATTTTTAAGTTTCTGAGCAATCATCTTGCAATAAGATGTAGTCAACTAGCAAATTAACAATATAAATAAGTTAACACAGGAACAAGATTCACCATGATAACATATATAATTGTTGTTAGACATGTTTATTTAAGGATAAATTATTAACAGTAATATCCAATTTGCTAATTGACCCGACCCCAAAGTGTCTCAAGTAGGATTTTTTTAATTTATAAACATAGATTGTCTTTGATGTATGACATATGTGTTATAACAATTCAACTTAGCCTGATTACAACAGGCAGATACAGAGAACATTTTTTCTATTATAACACTTTTTGATATAATTTGTAAGAACTCTTACTATATATACAATGCTGTAGATTTAAGAGCTGGAATGCTTATATGTAATGATGGCATATTAATGACAAATACCATGAGTAGATGTAAAAAAATCTATAAAAGAATATACCATTGTGTACTAAAAAACACAAAAAATATAATGGAAGAAAGAAGAAATAAATTTCACACTTTAATGTCTCAATTTATCATATTTGTTAAGAAAATGGCTACATGAAAGCGATAGTTTGACAAATAGCATCGTGAACATGTATGATAAAAATCAGTCTTAATTGCCATCTATTCATTATTTAGAATAATTTTCTTTTCCTTAGACAATAGTTACACTTTCAATGAACTTTTGGTGGCTAAATATATTTTTTTTTAAATCAAAAGTTGAAAAATACAATAGAGCACACGTTGAAATATCTCGCCGTTATTACTAACCATTGATATTAAGTTGACAGTCCTAAATATAAAGTTTTAATTCAACTATCAAATAAACTTAAAATGGTCAAAGAAAATGAGGTCAAGGTCAGATAAACCAAGATACAAATACAAGTACACCTTAAAATCATTCGATACACCAAATATGCTTCAAATATAGGTGACCTATTGCATGTTTAAGAAACAACCCTCAACCAGGAAACCTTAAAATTGATCAATGAACCATACAAATGAGGCCAAGGTCAGACATGTACAAACAACAATTATTACATGCTTTAAATACAGTAAACATATTGCAATTTGTATATTAGAAACAAAGTCAACCAGGAAAACTAAAGCTTGACCAATAAACCATTAAATGAGGTCATGGTCAGATGATAATAGCTAGACAAAAATAAACCTTACAATCATTCCATACACCAAATATTGATGTCCTAGAACATGTAATGTCTCGCCTTCTTTACTAACCATTGATTTTATGTTGATAGTCCTTAATACAAAGCTTTACTACAAGTAACACATAAACTTAACATGATCCAAGAAAATGAGGTCAAGGTCAGATAAACCAAACGAGAAGTACATGTACACCTTACAATCATTCAATAAACCAAACATAGTTGACATATTGCTTATTGTTTCTAAGAAACAGTCTTAAACAAGAAAACTTAACATTGACCAATGAACCATGAAAATGAGGTCAAGGTCAGATGAACCATGCCAGACAGACATGTACACCTTACAATCAATTTAGGCATTAAATATAGTTGACCCATTGCTTATAGTATCTAAGAAACAAACTTAACCATGAAAACTTAACATTGACCAATGAACCATGAAAATGAGGTCAAGGTCAGATGATACCTGCCAGACAGACATATACACCTTACAATTCTTCCATACATCAAATATAGTTGATCTATTGCTTATAGTTGAAGAAAACACTGAGAAATGAACCGTGAAAATGAGGTCAAGGTCAAATAAAACCTGTGAGACTGACATGTACATCATAAAATATTTCCATACATCATTTATAGTTGACCTATTGCATATAGTATAAGAAAAAAAGACCAAAACTCAAAAATTTAACTTTGACCACTGAACCATGAAAATGAGGTCAAGGTCAGATGACACCTACCAGTTGGACATGTACACCTTACAATCATTCCATATACCAAAAATAGTAGACCTACTGCTTATAGTATCTGATATATGGACTTGACCACGAAAACTTAACCTTGTTCACTGATCCATGAAATGAGGTCGGGGTCAAATGAAAATTGTCTGACGGGCATGAGGACCTTGTAGTAGGGTGCCCAATGTCCAAAAAGTCCTCTAGTTAACGAGTTTAAGTTAACGGATAACACACGGCTGATTTTTTTGCACATTATAGGAAAATCTTTATATTTTACAATCATGATTGTCGTCGTAAGTTCCCGTGGTCACGATTTTCTTAATTTCGTGTTTTTACAGGGTACCACCAGATACCGTATTGTACGGGGAATCTTTAACATGAAAAATAAAATTATTGCGTTCTTTGTTGGTAGTTAAAACAGTACCTTTAATATAGTTTATATATTAAATATATCATATAACGAAATCGGAAAGTATTTAAGTGATTTTGATATAAGTGTTTCATCATTTTAGTAAGAGTAAAATTTTACCCGAAATTTACCCTATTTTCATCGAAAGCAAAATTATTACGTGTATCATCACAATTTTTTTTACTCTGATTTTAGCAATAAGACACAGTGCATGTGTGTGCCAAATTACATGCGTGAAATAAAAATTGTTTTGAAGAAATTAGCAATTTAAAACACAAATTAAGTCAACATTTTGGAACTGATTAAACACGAATTATCTCGTGCCATTAATCATTTTGTTGTTTACACTTTTAGGTCATTAACAAGGACAGAGGTCACTCAAAACATTTGTCGTTTTTGCTTGTTGTGTGGTTGATTTATTTGTTGTGAATAGCCAACTAACTTTGTAGATTGTCACTTTGTTCGGAGAAATCTGTTTTGTGTCTGTTTTTCAAAACTTGAAACTTTTTATTGAATAAATATTTTGTTATAATTGTAGTATAAGAATCAAATCGGTCGGTTTTGTTTCACACCCGGAATATGGCACATCAAAAGTCTTGTATGATGTTTTCGACCTATAAATCCCTCTCGGTGGGAACGACAAATATACCACCGTTCGTGCAACAACACAAAAACAGATACAACAGACAGCAACCAACGACAACCACTTAATTGCAGGCTCCTGATTTTGGACAGACATATACAGAATTTGGAGGGGTTAAACATGTTTGTGATCCTTCAACCCTCCCTTGACCTGGACAATGGTATAACAACACAGTATAAGAAAAATCTGCTGAAAAACAGTTTGAAATGGCTTCAAATCGGCACGAAGCACAAAAACAACTAACATGAAGACAAAAAACACAAAGTACCGATATAATAGTACTCGCCGTTAGGGTAGAACATTTTATATTCTGAAGAAAGGGATGGGACTGGCGGCGAGAAAATTTATTTTCACTTTTGTACACATTCATATCCTCAACTATCCTGCATTTCATGTTGAAGAGTGTTCATTCTCATCCTGTCTTGTGCAAAGTCAATTATTTCAGTTCATACCAGGCCAAGTAATTCATTTTCAAAATCCTCATTCCCTCCCTGTTTTCGAAATCAAATGGGTGTTCCCTTACTGAAAACTAATATAAGGACGTCATCAATAGTCCGAGAAAAGTATGATCATAAACATCATTACCGTAAAAACTAGCTTTTGTTATAAATCAGACCTTATTTTTTTTCAAAAGAATTCTTTCATTTTTTTCATAACTGGCCTTTTTATAGCCGACCATACGGTATGAGTGGGCTTTCAACTTAACAGTAGACAAGGAAACGTAATAGCTACTACTAGCTTCGGAAATTTTTCTATGTTGTTACGCTCTTATTAAAATTCTGATCTTTATTAACTCGCGTGCTCTTATATATAAGCTCAAATGAGGATAACGAAAACAGATATCTATATTTTAATAAGATTGATGTTGTTTACAAGTGTTTGTAAGATACATCGATGCTGTACAAAACTTTCTTTTTGTAGATAATCTTTAACTTCATGTCAATTGTAGGCCAATTTATGTTCGATAAGTCATGTACATTACACTTGATATAAGTGTGTAAGATGGAGTGATCAGCCTGCTGTTTCTAATTCTCATTTTGTTTTCTTAACTTGTAACATAAACCCTCCCCCTTTTTCGCCGTTTGCAGTTTTTTTTGTTTTTTTTTCTGTAAAGCAAATATATACTCAGACCTGCTAATTCAATCAATTCTGCGTTAATATTCATCAGTTTTGGAACTAAGTACTATTTGATGTGCTTCCACGTTCATCAAAAGAAAATAGGATATTTACCCAGAAAATCATCATGAAGAACACCTTCTATCAAAAGACGGAAAAAGTAACATTTTGGGAGGGCAACTTATAAATGTTAATATCTAAAAAAATATCTCTAAAGATCACTTGTATCGAATCTTATGTAAAAATTCCGATTTTTGAATTTTTAAAAGGTCAAGGTCACTGTTATTTAACAGCTGAATGAAAATTGTAAATGTGCACCCTATAAGTACAAATGTCAATCTCGAACCATATTTGGCAATATAATTATCAAATTAGTCCTAAATATAGAAACTATAGTTATAATCCTTTGAATTATTCGAATTTATTTTGCTATAAACGCAAATATGTAGGGGTGGCCAGCCGTCTAAACGAGACTCTACGTTTTCCTTGAAATTTTAGATTTGACCTTTGACCCAAATTTAAGAAAATCGTGACCACTGTAGACAACGACGACATCAATATTTCGACGAGGCTTGTTCTCTTCTTTCCAATGATATAAAATATAGCCGTGTGTTATTCCGTTAACCCAAATCGATCAAATTTGCTGACTGGGCACCCTACTGTTGCAAGGTACGCACATACTAAATATAGTTATCCTATTACTCACAATAAGAAAGAAATTAACATTACAAAAAATGTTGACTTTTTTCAAGAAGCCACTGAACCATGAAAATGAGGTTAAGGACAATGGACATATGACAGACGGAAACTTCGTAACATAAGGCATCTATATACAAAGTATGAAGCATCCAGGTCTTCTAGCTTCTAAAATATAAAGCTTTTAAGAAGTTAGCTAACGCCGCCGCCACCGCCGCCGCCGGATCACTATCCCTATGTCGAGCTTTCTGAGACAAAAGTCGCAGGCTCGACAAAAACGAAACTTAAACTACTGAACCATGAAAATGAGGTCAAGTTCAGATGATACCTGCCAATTGGCCATGGCAGGTTCAACTTACAATCATTCCTTACATCAAATATAGGAGACCTATCGCCTATAGTATCTGATATATAGAGGTCGAGATCAAGTTAAAACTGTCTGACGAGAATGAGGACTTTGCAAGGTACACGCATATATTCGTCAGACTATTCAATGTCACTATGTATAGTCAATAATATCTTCATTTTACAACATCAGAGATAAATTCATTCAATGCCAACGTTTAGCATCACCATCATTTTGTTTATTCTTCAATATCAACTTATCACCTTTATCACCAAACGCCATGTCATAATCCTTTCTCACATCTTACTAAGTTTTTTCATAATTTTCTGTTGCCATTCCACGACCACTATTGATGTTAAATTGTGACAATCTGCGAAATAAACATGTTTTATAACCAACTCTTCATTTCCATTATTCAAGTACTTTTTGCTTTTCTTTAGTACTTTTCGAATTATACTATGCACTTGAACTTAAAGATGTACTATTTTCCATTTCATCTGAATCTGAATCTATACTATCGTCACTCTCCTCGGAAACCTCTTTTTCACAAAATGGTTTAAGCATAGGATCATGGTGAATTTTTTTATGCTGATTAAGATTTTTAATACTGTCAAATGTTTTTCCACAAAAGCAATGAAACATTCCATCATAATGTTTTCTCATGTGCTTTAACAATCCTGATTTGCTCCCAACCTGTTTTCCGCATAAGTGACACTGAGTCTGTTCATTTGCTGTCATATTTCTTATGCATTTATCTTCATGTGGTGTTAGCTTATATTTAAAAACAAATTTCTTGTTACATTTCTTGCATTTCAAAAGACCCCTTTCTTTATGCTTTAATATGTGTTTTTCTAATTGCTGTTTATACTTAAATACACTAGTGCAGGATTTAACCTTGCATTTATAAAATTGATCCGAATGAAAAGTGAGCTCATGTTTAGTCATTCCTGATATTGTCCTGAAGGTCAACCCACAATATCTACAAATATGTATCTGTGTTTCCTTCCAATTTAAATAACGATGGCGGCGTGTATGCTTTTCATAATCCTTATGATCTTTTGTTGAAAAATTACATTTCTCACATTTATAAACCTTTGACTTTCTTTTCTTATTAATAGCCTTATTTAACGTTTTAACAATACCCTCAATATCATCATCATTATCATCATCATCATCACCATCATCACCATCATCATCATCCATGTCATCATTATCAACTACATCATCACCATTTTCATCGTTTTCATGAGCAGTATCACGTTGTACTGTTCTGTTAGGAATGCAGATAACATCATGTTTGTTCAAATCATGTTTTGTAACAAATGATTTTGCACACTTCCCACATTTTATTAAAACAGTTTCTGCATGCTCTATTAAATGTTCATTTAACTTGTGTTCATCCGAAAAATATTTAAAACAACCTTTCTCGAGGCATTCAAATACCAAAGAATGTACTTTTTCCGTATGAACTTTCAAGTCAAGTGTAGCTTTATGCTCTGTTTCACACTTACCACAAGTTTGTGATTGGGGTTCTGCACTCTTTAGCTTTTGCTTAAGCTTTAAATAATCATGGTGTTTTCTATGTTTAGTATACTGTGTTTTATCTACTGTTGAGAATTCACACTGTATACAACGGTAAACGTCATGTGTCTGTCTTGTTTTTTTCTCATTCTGCTGGGTGAGTAAAATTGAATTCATCCCTGCAACAAATTCCTCAACATTATCAGCATTAAACTCTTCCATCGTGGTTTCTAAACTTGTATTCTCGACTGTTAAACTTGCTCTTTTATTCTGTTCAACTCCAGAAGTCAAACTGTTGATATTTCTGCTAAACTTTAAAGATTCCCTATAATTGAAGCCTTTACCCCCCTCACAATGCATTTTGCTCATATGTTCAGAAAGATTTCTTTGAGCTTTATACACTTTATTACAAATGTCACATCGAAACATTAATCTTTTGACACAATAATCCTCGTGTCTTTTTAGTGCACCCTTTAGTACAAATACCTGTGCACATTTCCTACATTTCAGAACACCTTGTGATTTGTGCCATAACAAATGTTTTTGTAAAGCAGATTCTTCCACAAAACGGGATTTACACCCTCTAAGTACACAACTCAATATAGGCTTATCCGAATGCGATAATTTTTTATGTTGAATCAAACCAACTTCAGTTTTATATTCATTTCCACATTCATCACAAAAATATTTTGGAGGTTTACATAGTTTAGACATTTTGAGCTTTCTTTTGAGGTAAGAGTGATGCTTTCGGTGTCTCTCTTGTTCCTTCTTATCACCTGTTGAAAATTCACACTTTTTACAATGCCACAACTTTTCTTGATTGGTCTCACCTGATTCTATCTCTCCTTTATCTGATTGGCTCTTATTTCTAAGCTTTCTGTCAGAGATTTCATTTTTTTCACATCCATCAATGACTATCTGTTCTTGTAACCATGGTAATGGATCACAGTCACTTTCTTCTAAGGCAATGAGGCCTAGAAGTGGCGATCCTTCTTCACAAGTCTTCTTTAAACATTCCTCTTCCAAATCAACACTGTCCTATAATCAGATTGAAATTCTTTGTTTTTAATTCAGAATTTCAAATTCAATTTATACTTGCAGAGCTAGGTTTTTGAATTAAACTATTAACCGGGTTAGTAATAACATGAGCATTTAGACGGGTGCCACATGTGGGGCAGAATCTACTTACCATTTCGCAGCACCTGCGAACACCCCCAGTTTTTGGTGGTGTTCGTGTTGTTTGGTCTTTTACTTTCTACGTTGTGTCTTGTGTTCTATTACTTGTCTGTCTTTTTCTTTTAGCCATAGCGTTGTCAATTTATTTTCGATTTCTGAGTTTGAATGTCCCTCCGGTATCTTTCTTCCCTCTTTAAGCTATTTTTTTCAATTTAGATAACAAATGATTTCTTAAAAGCGGTTTTTGCATTGTTAGGAAATACGCTCAATTAAAGTCATTACAGTTATTAGTCAATTATCTTAATTTACCATTTTATCTTTTTGCAATTGTTCTTCTTATAACATTGTGCAGACGTGAATAATAAGGCGTTCAGTATAATAAAAACATACTGCCCTAGATGAAAAATTGTTATCCCTCATGTGTTAATCTATCCCAACACCTTCATCCAAGTGAAGTATGTTTATATAACAGGTGTCATCACTGGTAAAAGTTATTTTTAAAAGTGGGAAAAAGGGAATCAACTCGAGTTTTATTTAAAAAATAAATGAGGAATTTTTCCAATAAAATGACAAACATTATCAAGGCTAAAACTAATATTACTTAATAGTAACTTTAAAAATAATTGACAGTTAATCACCTCAAGACAATACAACATTTCTTTATACATAACTTACAAGCAGTGTAAGGGAGGTAATCCAAAAATACACAACATTGTACTTTAAATGTGATTGGATTGCCTCCTTTAGACTGCTTTAAAATTGTTTTTATTGTCCATTAACCAGGAAACCCATGTTTTTCCCCCTTTTTTCCCCCCAATTCCTAAAAGGTTTGAGCCATAATCCCCCAAAGTCAATCCTAACCATCCCTTTGTGGTATGGAAACTTGTGGTACAATTTCAGAGAGATTCATATACTTTAACACAAGTTATTGTCTGGAAACTACTAAAATGCTAATTTGGGCCCCTTATTCCTAAACTGTTAGAACCATAGCCCCAAAATCAAACCCAACCTTCCTTTTGTGTATACATTTTTTGCGGTCGTATAAAAATTTAAAGCAAAATTCTAGAAAGGTAAAAGTTACAACCCCTTAATTCAAATTTGATCTGTTTTTTTTTATTGTAATGAGCATTCTGTTTCAGTTTTATAACAATTTCAATCCTGGTAACTTTGATGACAGATATAGGAAGATGTGGTATGAGTGCCAATGAGACCACTCTCCATCCAAGTCACAATTTATAAAAGTAAACCATTATAGGTCAAGGTACGGTCTTCAACATGGAGCTTTGGCTCACACCGAACAGTAAGCTACAAAGGCCCCAAAAAATTACTAGTGTAAAACCAATCAAACGGAAAAACCAACGGTCTAATCTATATAAAAAACGAGAAACGAGAAACACTTATAAAATCATGATGAACCACATCAACAAATCACAACTACTGAACATCAGATTTCTGACTTAGGGCAGGTGCAAACAATTGCAGCGATAGTAAACGTTTTATTGGTACCAAACCTTCTCCCTTATCTGAAACAATAGTGTAACATCACAACATAGAAAGACACACTATAAAATATCAATTGGAATGGCTTAACTCAATAAAAATTAAAGAACCTTAGTGAGCGCACTTACATACCCCACGTCCCCACATTGTCATTGGAGAAATAAAATAAGTGGAAGAAAAAAAAATTGTATTAGAAAAAAAAATTGAATCATGATTTCCTGTCAATATGCAATTCTACATAGTATGTCCTTATTATCTACACAGTTTCATGAAATTCTGTTGTGTGGTTTGAGAGGAGTTGCGATGACAAAAGGTTGCAGTAGTATATTGGGCAAATGAGTTCAAAGGGGCGTAACTCCTGGAAAAAATTGAATTGTAATTTCCTGTCGATATGCACATCTACGTAGTATGTCCTTATTATCTGAAAAGGTTTCATGAAATTCTGTTGTGTGGTTTGAGAGGAGTTGCGATGACAAAAGGTTGCAGTAGTATATTGGGCAAATAAGTTCAAAGGGGCGTAACTCCTGGAAAAAAACTGAATCGTAATTTCCTGTCGATATGCACATCTACGTAGTATGTCCTTATTATCTGAAAAGGTTTCGTGAAATTGTTGTATGGTTTGAGAGGAGTTGCGATGACAAGAAACAGGACTGACGGACTGACGGACTGACGGAATGACAGACTGACGGACTGACGGACGGACGGACGGGTCAAAAACATTATACCCTCCGCAACTCGTTGCATGGGGTATAAAAACGTAGTAACATAAATGAACATATCTTTATATCTATATCATTAACGGGAAGCTTAATACAAAAATTTATGATAAAAGAGATGATTTTTCATTTCATATCGTTAATTATCCATTTTTAGATGGTGACGTTCCCTTTTCACCATCTTATGGTGTTTATATATCTCAACGTGTACGATTCGCTCGTGTATGTAACAACGTATTAGCTTTTAGCGAGAGAAATTTATGTATTACTGAAAAATTATTACACCAGGGTTTTCGATATCACAAACTAGTCAAAACACTTACTAAATTTTATCATCAGTACAAGGACATCATTCGTAAATATCACTCAACATGCAGACATCTTATACGTTCAGGTATTTCACATCCAATCTTTTATGGTAATATTCTTTACAAAGCACAATAAAATGCAGGGCACAGCTTGATACGACCGCAGAGTTCGAACCCTGAACAGTTGGGGCAAGTATGGACACAACATTCAAGCTTGATACAGCTTTGCATTTGGATTGTGATTAAATATTTGACACAGCATAGGTTTCTGACACAGAATGAATGTGGTCTACGAACTTAAAAATTTTAAATTGGACATTCACCTATTATGGTCCAATATCCAAAATCTAAATACATGGTAAGTTTCAGCATATCAAAGAACCACAAGAATTCAATTTTTGATGAAATCAAACAAAGTTTAATTTTGGACCCTTTCGACCTCAATGTGGACAAAGTTGATAACGGGGCCCAAAAATCAAAAATCTAAATACATGGTTAGATTCAGCATATCAAAGAACCCATGTATTCAATTTTTGTTGAAATCAAACAAAGTTTAATTTTGGACCCCGATTTGGACCAACTTGAAAAATTGGAAAATTTAAAAGAAAAAAAAAAGGAAAAAAAAAAATCCACCCCCCAAATTTTTTGAACCCCCTTATGATTCATCACACCCAAACTCAATCCCAGGTTCCCTTTGTAGTATGGTACCTTGCAGTACAATTTCAGAGAGATCTATACACTTGAACACAAGTTATTGTCTGGAAACTAGAAAAATGTGATTTTTGGCCCCTTTTTGGCCCCAAATTCCTAAACGTTTAGGGCAATTAACCCCAAACTCAAACCCAGCTTTCCCAATGTAATATGGAACCTTGTAGTACAATTTCAGAAAGATCCATACACTTACACATAAGTTATTGTCCTGAAACTAGAAAAATGCTTGTTTTTTGCCCCTTTTTGGCCCCTAATTCCTAAAATATCGAGGCAATTACCCCAATCATCAATCCCAGCCTTCCTTTTGTGGTATGGTACCTTGCAGTACAATTTCAGAGAGATCCATACACTTGAAAACAAGTTATTGTCTGGAAACTAGAAAAATGTGTTTTTTGGCCCCTTTTTGGCCCCCAATTCCTAAACGTTTCGGCAATTACCCCCAAACTCAATTCCAGATTTCCCTTTGTGATATGGAACCTTGTAGTACAATTTCAGAAAGATCCATACACTAACACACAAGTTATTGTCATGAAACTAGAGAAATGCTTGTTTTTTGCCCCTTTTTTGGCCCCTAATTCCTAAAATTTTGAGGTAATTACCCCCAAAATCAATCCCAGCATTCCTTTCGTGATATGGAACCTTGTGGTACAATGTCAGAGAGATCCATACACTAACACACAAGTTATGTCTGGAAGTTACAAAAATGCTTATTTTTGGCCCCTTTTTGGCCCCTAATTCCTTTACTGTTGGCACCATAACCCCCAAAATCAATCCCAACCAATTTTTTGTGGTATTGAACCTTGTGGTAAAATTTCATAGAGATCCATTCACTTAAACTAAAGTTAGAGTGCGAAAACCAATGTGTCTTCGGACGACGCCGGACGACGACGACGACGATGACGACGACGACGACGCCAACGTCATACCAATATACGACCACAAAAAAATTTTTGCGGTCGTATAAAAATGTCAGTATTCACCTCAAAAGCTTACAAAACCTTTAAACAGACTTATTAAGAAGGGATACTGTTGTCAGGTCATTAAAGATTGCATATTTTGGGTTTAATATTGATTCACTTATAGGGTCTTTGCATCGGAATTAAACACATTTATTCATAAACCAGTTGTTGGCATTACACAGGTTATGTTCTTCTCATATATATTATGATGGTTTAACACTAAACCCCTAACGGGAGGGATTGTGCTTGATATTCTTACGATGAAGACATAATCTTTCAATCAGTTTGATTGAGGTCTGGAGCTGGCATGTCAGTAAATGTTAGTAGTCTTTTGTTAATTTATGTATTAATGTCATTTTGTTTATTTTCTTTTGTGACCTATTCTGACATCAGACTCGGACTTCTCTTAAACTGAGTTTTACTGTGCGTATTGTTGTGTGTTAGTTTTTCTACATTGGCTAGAGATATAGGGGGAGGGTTAAGATCTCAAAAAACATGTTAAACCCCGCCGCATTTTTGCGCCTGTCCCAAGTCAGGAGCCTCTGGCCTTTGTTAGTCTTGTATGTTTTTTAATTTTAGTTTCTTGTGTATAATTCGGAGTTTAGTATGACGTCCATTATCACTGAACTAGTATACATATTTGTTAAGGGGCCAGCTGAAGGACGCCT